AACAGTTTATTGACATCTAAATTAACTTAACCTGCCAACAGAATATGTTCGCTTTTATTATTGCTGGCTTTTGTCTCACGGCCAGCTCCCAGGTTTGATTAATACTTTGTAATAAATACACCTTGCAGCTATATTTGCTGTGATCAGTGGGAATAAAGTTGTTTTAATATGTTTTTAAGTGAGAAAGTCCACCTGAAAAATTAATAATTGCAGTCAGTTCATCCAGATTATCATCCTGCCTTTTAATACTATTTCTGTTGGAGGCGTTCAGACCCCACATACCAGCGGTGTGCCGACAGTAGGACTCCCTTCAACAGCAGCCTCTGGGCTGGGTCGCCTCCTCGCGGTTCACCGCGGCGGCTTGCAAGTGTTTTTCATCTAAATAATCTAAACTGCAGGCACCAGGATAATAAAAGCGAACATATTCTGTCGGCAGGTTTCAGGATTTTAAGTTAATTTATGCGTCAATAAACTGTTTCAGAGGAGTGATCACGGCGCTCTGTCATCAGCGATGTGTCTGTCTCACGGCCAGCTCCCCGGTTTGAATAATACTTTGTAATAAATACATGAATAAATCACAAACATACTCAGTTTGGCTCCTGCTCTATTTTTAAATATGCAGTAGAGGTATTTAAACGTAGTAGAGGACATGTACCTGTATATAAAAAACGCGCCCTATATTCCGGTGCGCCTTATGTGTGTGTTAAATACAGAAATGGCACACATAACTGAGACTGCACCTTTTAGTACAGTGCGCCTTATGGTCGTGAAAATACGGTAGCAAGATGCTAAGCATTAGCTATGATTAGCTAACTTTTCTGATGTCATAAAATATGTGTTATGGGGCAATTTCCTCATGATGATAATGATTTCTCTTCATGAAATCCTTTGAAATTACTTCTCACAGATTAGATGGCCAGTATTTTATTTTTAAAGTTGGAATAACAACAACCAAAAATTAGGGGAGACAGTGGGCTCTAACATGGCTTCAACAAAAAATGTTTTTTTTTTTCATGTACCCTCCCTGTTTCAACCAAGAACCTCTCAATTTTGAAGAAGAAAAAAAGGCTTCTTTATTTGCAGTAGATAGTCTAAAAATAGGTTAAATATGGGGATGTTAACATGGCACTGTTTGCCCAACAATGGGCTTTATAGATTTATTTCCACCTGCTAATCCTCCTCTTTACTGTGAGCTGCATAAAAATGAGCATCTGTCCCTTTCTGACAAATTCATTTACATTTATTTTAAAGAGAACTGATGGGTAACAATTTTTCTTTTTTTTTAAGTTTAATAAATGTGTTCAAATTGAAAGATTGTGCGAGATTATGTTACTTTAATTCAAGAATTACTTCAGCAACTTTACAGGAGTGAAAGCAAATATGTCTCTATCTGTATAAATCTTTACAGTAGTAAGCATATTATTTCCACAACTACAGGGTGATTTTTAAAGCACTTCATTTCAATGAGGAACATTCAGCTTCTCACAAAATAATCACTTCTCAATACTGAGAGGCACAGTGTGCAAAGCGCTGCTCGCCAGTCAAAGAGGATAATGAAAGAAAAATGAGTTGGAAGCAAGTAATGGGAATGTCTCAGGGAATAGAAGAGGGAGAGGAAGGTTCAGTGTCTTTGAATGAAGATGACAAACCCGTATTTATCCTCAGATTACCTGCAGCCCCCTCTGATGGTGCCTTCTTTTTAAAAAGCCTTAAAAAAGGTTCAGTTTATGCAAAGCTCATCGCTGCACTGCATGGGACGGTACTAAGCAGGGTCCAATTCAGCACGGCAAACACAATCAATCGGCATAATGAATTTAGCACAAAGTTTACAAAGGGAGCAGTTTTGTTTCCCAGCGCCTTTTTAAAATCAGTGATCAAACTGTCAGTGGATTCATGTTTGCAGTAATTAGTATTCTCCTTTTGATTGATGCTTAGTGCTGTAAATCAATCAGTCTCCATTTTGCCTCCAGCACTTAAAACTGAGCCAATCCTACACTGGACAGGAAAATGAAACTCAGCTGGTCGAAACAGAATTATTTAAAAAACAGATTTTTCTTTACCTCACTGCAGTAGATCCTGTTTGATACTAAGGAGTTTTAGGACTCCCCCGGAGAGGAGAAGCATTCCCAAACCTTCCCCTCCAGAGGTGGGAACCACAGATTTAAAGGGGTCTTAGAATGCAAAACTGAGTTTACATCGCCATAGTAACAATAGTTCAGTTGGTGAAAGGGACGTACAGAGAAGTTCAAACCCCATCAACACCTCCTTTCTCTGCAAATCTCACAATTCTAAACTTCCACCATAAAACTGGAGAATCCAAAGGAAGGACCGAATTGATGTAAACTCGGGTATGTTGCCTTATTTGGTTCTGGCCTGTACTTTTGACATAGAGATTAGCCAACTGGTTCACGACCCAAGAACATGAATAGACGTAGATGGAAGACACCAGTTTATCTGTTTAGCCTACAGCTGGGTTTACCTCTACAAGAATTATAAAGCAGGCAGTGTTTCTATTGATAATGAGCCAAAACCACGGGCATAAATGCAGTGTTCCAGGCTGCACAGAGGAAGGGGAAATTTTTCAGTCTTCCCAAGGATCCAAAGACTCCACAGGCATGAATTATTTTTGTCTATCAGAAGATCCCTGCAAAGTTTGATGCTCAGCTGTTAATTTGTTCAAAGCATTTTACAGCAGACAGCTTTCTAAATCTTGGATGATTCAAAGCAGGATTTGCTAAACCTCTTTAACTGAAACAAGGGGCTTTTCTGACCGTAAGGCCATCACAACTGCAAGCTGGAAGTATGATTTTGTCACTAAGCTGTTGATAGCAATGCTAGCATATCTATGAGGACCAGATCTGGGTTTCTGAAAAGGAGGACTGCTGGGCCGCTGACTGGACCAGACCTCAGGAGGAGCCAGGAGCAGCCCGTCCGCAGCCGGAAGAGGGGGGCTGGGGTGGCGGGAAGCACGGGGCCGAGTGCCCAGTGTGTTTCAACTACGTGCTGCACTGTAGTCGACCAAAATCCCGGACGATTTCGAAACGTCTGGTCAGCCTACCATATCAACAATTTGATGTTTCAGTGAGTGAGTGCTTGTTGCTATGATGCATCTTTGATCAGCAGCTTTGCTCGCTGTAAACCGACCAATCAGCACACAGCTCATTTAAATATTCATGAGCATACCATAAAAGGAAGAAAACCTGTCGTTTCATTCTAGGGCTTTAAACCAGGCTAGGATTAGGGCTCATAGAACAGCAAATATGACATTTTCAGCCCAACCAGATGTTACACACCCTATTCAGAGACCTTAAGGACCAAATACCCTATAGAATCATTCTATGGCCCTTCTAACAACAGTTCATTCTACTGGAGTGTAGCTATCTCAGTAGAAGGGTGGGTGGGAGGGCTCTGAGGGTTCTACAGGAAACCACAACTACAGCGGCTTATGATCTACTTTCTACTGCAGCCCCATTTGGTACTCACTCGACTCATCGTCATTATCATCACTTGAGGAAAAGTCTTCATAAACGAACTGAGTCTTAGATTTGGTGATGATGGGGGAAAGGTTGAAAGAGAAGGAAATGCGCCTCTTTCTTCTCAGGCGTCCCACCACTGGAGGGGTGGAAGAGAACCACAACAGGCTTTGGATAAGTCAAGCTGCTATGATCATACGTAGATTTGTCCCAGAACTATTGGCTTTTTCACCTTATCTTACCTCTTTTAGGTATCACATTCTTCATAAATTTAAAACAAACACATATTCGACAGATTTCTGTCATTCTTTAATGTGGGCTTTAAACCCCATCCATCCATCCTTCACCCATCCATCCATCCATCCACCCATCTATCCTTCCATCCTTCCATCCATCCATCCATCCTTCACCCATCCATCCATCCATCCATCCATCCATCCTTCCATCCTTCCATCCATCCATCCATCCATCCATCCATCCATCCATCCATCCTTCACCCATCCATCCATCCATCCATCCATCCCCCATCTATCCATCCATCCATCCATCCCCCATCCATCCATCCATCCTTCCATCCATCCATCCATCCATCCTTCACCCATCCATCCATCCTTCCATCCATCCATCCATCCATCCATCCCCCATCCATCCATCCATCCATCCATCCATCCTTCACCCATCCATCCATCCATCCATCCATCCTTCCACCCATCCATCCATCCATCCTTCACCCATCCATCCATCCTTCCCCCATCCATCCATCCATCCATCCATCACCCATCCATCCATCCATCCATCCATCCATCCATCCATCCATCCATCCATCCATCCATCCTTCACCCATCCATCCATCCTTCACCCATCCATCCATCCTTCACCCATCCATCCATCCTTCACCCACCCATCCATCCATCCATCCATCCATGGATACAAACCAGTGATGTTAATCTAAACAAAATGTGGTTAATTTCTGGTTACACCTTCCAAATTTTTTTTCATTCAAACCACATAATCTGATGTAGAAAGGGGTGATTCAATGCGGTATTCGGCAACCTTTACTTCAAAACTCTTTAAAAAAAAGTAAAATAGATAAAAATCAAAGAAGTGTGCCGTACCCTCAATTTAGCACATCAGGTGTGGCGGAAACCGGACAGCAAATAACCCCCATCACCACAATGACTGCTATGAAACAAGGTGGCAGCAGCTTCCTACGCCAAAAGACTCACAGCTGTAGCTGGAGTGAAGAGCAGCAGCTTTACAAATTGTTTAATCTGGGACTCTAAGCAAAAAACATCATGAACTGCATAATGTATCCTACCAACTTAGTTCTGTTCTGCTTTGTGTCGCTCTTTGATCTAAGTTTGTGGTTTTAAAACAGCAAAATATGGGAAAGTTTTAGCTGTATGATGGAGGTTGGTAAACCAAAGCACTATATGATCTAAATACATTTTAAATGATGAGTAAAAGACATTAAATCAGCTTTGAGATCTGAAACAACATCAACCACATGTTAGGACAAACACTCACCATCGCTGTCTTTCTGGCTGATGGTTACCATGGACACGGACTTTGTGAGGGGAAGGGTCATCGACGGACAGCTGCTTCTTAGCGGCCGATACCGCCTTAATTTCTGAGCCATGAAACACAAAGTTTACAACAGATCAGCTGCACGGCAGAGTCAAAGAGCAGACAAACAGGTACAAAGGTAGGCTGTGATGATGAAGCTGGAAACAGGAACGATAATCAAAAAAGGGAAACTGCATGTTTGATTTGTGACAGACAATAAAGATTAATAATTCTCACTAAAGGTTCTCCACTTTGTTTAGAAAACCTACTTCTGTTTAGATTAATTCCTCTACATTGCAAAAATTATCTATAAATAAATAAGAATTTCATGTCTAAAGTGTATTTCCCCTTCAATTTAGTAGATAAAAACGATGATTTGCCAATGGAATGAGTATTTTAACTCTTAAAATAGGATAATTACATAATATGCATTTGCAATACATTTGTTTGTTTTTAGATTAAGTGCAAATTGTCTAGTTCCAATGGCAATGTGGCTCAAATACCTCCTCAGTTCAAGAAAAAATGCACTTATTTTGAGAAAAAAAAATTTGATTTCAATGTTTCAATCTGAGTTGTTGGGTGTTGTGTCCGTCTGTTTTTCTGCGGACCTGTACATGAAGTCTGCTGTCGTCCTCCCGCTCCTCTTGCTCCTCCGTCAGAGACACCAGGGAACCTCTATCATCACTGTTCTGTCGGGGCATCCTCGAATGCTCCAGGATGCAGGGCTCTTGGATGGTGGAGCCTCTCAGCTCTTCCTGGATCCCACTGAGCCCTTCCAAGCTGTAGCTGCAGACAAACAGTAAAGCATAAAACTGTGCAGCAGACATCCTCCCATAGGTCCATCTGAACTATTTGTCACATTTTTCTGGACTAGTACAATTGTTTGCTGCAACGAGATACACCATAATGCATGCACACACCTGTTGGCAGACACACACGCTCACACTCACAAAGCTGGCTCTGCACAGTGTTTAGTCAGCTGAGTTATCGCTGGCCTCTGGAGCAGATTTACAACTGAAGCAGCTGCAAATAACTTCCAACATCAGCATCAGCACAGAGAGCCCCGCCATCTGTGATTTACAACCCCAATTACACCGATCTATGACTGGGAATAAGAGGCCCTGAAAAATTCAAAGCAATGATTATGGCGAGGAAAACTACAGCTACATTTCAGAATGAGCTATGCTAGCAAGCTGCAGCTCAGTCTGCTCCAGGACGGGCTCCCCGACGCTTGGAGGCTCCCGCAGTAAATCTCTCCTTTCTTTCTCGGGCCTCTGGGGTAGTGTAGCTCCAACGTTATCCAGCAAATCATCAGTCCAACACTTTCAAGCATCACTAACTGAGGCCGAGCTAAAAGAATCATCATCAGTGACCAGCCTGCCGCGGCACTCAGCAATCCTCAAGGCAGGCGGCTGTATCTGTCATATTAAAACCTCCTCTTGGCGCTACGCACTCACCCTGCAGAGCCAGGAGCCCGTTCATGCCGAACAAACAACAAAAAAAAACACCTGCAGACAGTGCAGCTCACCTCTGTGTAATGGGAAGTCACTGACTTGCTCAAATGTCACACAAAGAAACACACCCACCACAACGGCTGATGCAAATCATGTGGATTGTAAACATGCATCGTTTGAAAATGGTCATGTGGTCTGAGCGAAGGAGGAGATCAAAAACACCATACCTGCAGGGACTGGCTGAGACCAAAGCACTGATGGAAAGAGCTTCAAGGGTTTAGAGTAACATGGTAGAAGTTTGGGAATAAGATGAAAGGGACAAGTGGGAATATCAGTGAAACAGACAGAAAGATGCAAGAGATAAGACAGCTGTAAGTGCAAACAGAGTCGACGGCAACTCTAAGGAGACATGCTACGTTGTGTGAGTGTGTATAAATATAATCACACAATAATAACTTATTGTTTCTGCTAAATCCGATGCTCCATTTCCTCCTCTCCGTCTGTGCTTATAAGAACAGTTTTAGTTAATGAATAGATCAGAGATCGGGCCTCTGAATCGTTTGCCACTGCTGGAGCGTTTATGGTAACACTAGCACAATACGGCGGGCACCAGAACTACCAGTGGAGGCCCAGCAGCTGGATCCGCTGCTTTTTTCAGCGACAGATGTGGCCATATGGTTGCAGGAGCGACCTCTGACAATGTGAGACATGTCTTAATTAGAACCCGGCAAGCACAAAGGACAGATGATGTTATTATTAGTGTGTAAGCTGGGCTGCTGTGTGTCTATATCAGGACTAGAGGCGAATGGAGAGACAGTATTCAAGGAGAAAGCAAAATGTATATTTTTTTTTAAAGATTAGTAGGGGAAAAAGTATCAACTTATAGTCTGGCAAAACACTTTTTTTCAGTTCATTTTTATTCCTTTCTCTCTACCTAGAAAAAAGCATAATGAGGCTGTTCAGGCAACATGAATTTTAAACACCGTTCAACCCATGAGAATCTTTATATAACGGATATTTGAGAGCTGGTAAAAAAAAAAAAAGAAAGAAAGAAAGAAAAGCATTTATGAGTCGAGTAGAGTTTGGCTCAACCAACAAATGAGATCCAACTCTACCCTGGTTCAATATGAATGAAGGAAGAAGCTGCTTCCTTCATCAATGCTTCCTCCCATCCCCTTCTGGGTAAAAATGGCAGGTTAGAGAGTCAACAAAGTTATTTGACAGTTTGAACGACTTCCATTTGGTTTTTATTGCTGTGGCACAGAATCTTCTCCTGCAGGGCTGCACTCAAAACCCTTCTGACGCCTTTCATCGTCTTCAAAAATCCCTACAGGATCTCTAAAAATCTGCAGCAATGCATCCGAGTTACACTTTACTCCCTCTGTAGTAAAAGAGACAAGGCTCTGCCATGCAGGGGTGAAAAGACAAGCTACCTCCTGGAGCACGGTCGCCTGCAGGGATGCAGCATAAAGCCGGAGCAGCGCAGCGAGCAAATGTTAAAAAGCAGCAGTTTCACACAGCCCACACCGCACCGCATGAGGACAACAGATCACTCCCAACATCTTATCAATACCTTCTCCTGTGAAAGGCCGGCTTCCCCTCACCAGGGCTACGGATGGAACTGGAGGTGATGAGACAGAGACAGGAAGTGGTGCGTGATGGGAGAGATGAATTGTGATTTGAGAGGAGAGCATGTAAGGCAGAACATGATGAATGAACCGTTTCAGTTGTGGATGAGACCATCAGGGCTTTACTGCCGAGTTGAAAAGTGCAATGAGATAATGAAGCAATGCAGGTGTGCAGGTTAGAAACAAAGGTTTTTCTTTTTCTTTTTTTTCAGTTTAGAGGTTTTCAACCTACAGGTGCACTTAGCAAGCATTTCTCAGCTGATATCAGAGGTCTAAGCTGCTGATTCCACTTTAAACTCCTCTCCATTTTAATCACTGAACCCCATAAAAGTGATAATTAATTTCTTTATTTGATTTTTTAAGTTTATTTTAAATAAAGATTTTGCTCTTTCGGAAAATTGAAGAAAAACGGGACTATTGGGAGCTCTGGCTGATTTATTAGTGAATCTCTCCCATTATTCACACATCAAGCCGAAGCCAGGAAACACTTCAATCAGCTAGAAAACAGATGTGAAAGTCTGAAACTGAACCATGCCAAGAGCAGTGACTCTGAAATCAATCCCCAGTGTCAAACTGGTGCATGAGGAGGAAACCTGCTGCATAAAGCCATTAAACAGCTACAAGCATGACCGCGTGTCATCACATAAATACCTTTAATCTAGAATTAATGAGCTTGAGAGGCGCTTAAATGTGGATTTGTGTTCTGTATGTAAAACTGATGTCCTCCTGGTGAGAGCTTCACATTTCTCCAGGTGACAGTCAGCCTGCCTCACAGGGAGAGGCAGACCTCTTTTCATTCCAAAGGATCAATCTATGGTTAACCTGGTAGCCCTGATTTTTCTAAGTCCTAAGCCTTTTTTCCCCTAACGCAGTTTAAATTAATTTAAATCTAGTTTAAGTTTGCACAAAAGTCCCAGTAAGGTGCGCAAAAACACTTTGATTTTGCATGTTTAAGCAACCCTGAAAGAACAGTTTAAAGTCAAGTATTGTGAAAAAAAAAGTCACTTTAAAGTTTGCTTCTGGGAGATTGTGAAGTGGTCGGTTCATTATGAGGAAAAGCAGCTCCAGTTGGTGCTCTAAGCGAGGTGCTTTTATTCCTAAATGAAACTTAAACTTATGTTCAGAACAAATGGAGCGATCTAAAAGGAGGCAAATGCTCTTTATTGAAAGCTATTAAAACCAGTTTCCATTAAACGAAGAGGTTCCTCCATCCATCCATAAATCAGAGGTGGACTTTGTAGATTTAGTATTTACTTAAAATTCAAACACAAGCTCGATGTCGATCTCCTCGCTGCTGAGCTGCTGCCATCTTTCCCTGTCCATCTGCTGGCTGAGGACAGCTCCACTTGCTGCTCTGCTCTCAGCTTTCTCTGACCACAGACAGCTGGGCGGTCTGAGGATGTAGATCCTACTCAGGAGGAAGCCGTGTCAGCGTTGACCCTTTTTCCAAGTGCATCACACTTAACCAGGATTCAAAGGTTTGGCAAACAAACAACCGTTCTAGGATTTGACCAAACAGGAGAATAGCGGAGTCAGAACCAGCAGGATTCAGATTCAGGTAGTTTTACACCCCTTTGTTTACAGGCTTTTTATTTTATGCTCTGGGTGATTTGTGTTTTCTCACAAAGTGAGAAAATATTTCCCCTTTTACTCATTTTTAGCAGTGTAGATGACCAAATATTAAATCTTGATTTTCTCAGCCTTCACTATGGAGGGAGTTTTCCTACGGCTTTATGACAGAAATATTTAATGAAACAGAACACATAGTTTTACTGTGACAGAGATCACCTGGTCACGTTTTTCTGAGTCATTTTATCGTTTCAGCCGGGCTTACACTGCGATTTTTGATGTTTTCAGGGAAACTTTCCAGTCGTGTGAGAATTTTCCGATAGGCCCGACTTTCAGCCTGATGGTACGTCGTGTTATATACAGGGACTAACCAGAGGCGATAAGCCTCTCACGACTACCTCCCGATCAGGAATCGTGAGGTCGGGAGAAAATCAAACACGTTTGATTTACCTGGAAGATGGAAGCCCAGCTTGGATAACACAGGTTGAGAGAACCTGTCCATGATGAGCAAGCATGAAGCGACAGTGGAGAGGAAAAACTCCCCATTGGGAAGAAACCTCTGGCAGAACCAGGCTCAACATGGCGGTCCTCGGCCCGACCAGTTGAGATTAGACAGGGAAAGCAGTAAGAGTCAGGGAGGAATCCCTGATCAGGTTTTAGCTACGATGGTGGAGGAGGGGCTGGAGGTGGGTCTAAACGGGGTCATCTAAATGAAGTCACAGCCCATCTGCCACCTGCGCACTAGGTAGCAGACGAGTTGCGGATCAGAGGTCTGAACTTTTGATGCTGATTGGCTTTCATGAAGGCGTGGTTCAAAGCTGATAGGCTGTGTCGTAGGCGGATGAAGGCTAGTAATCACTTTATTCAGTAGAACTTCTGCCAAGGCTCCATTATTCACGCAACAAGCTGAAGCCAGAAAACACGTCAATCGGCTAGAAAATAGATGTGAAAGTCTGGAACTGAAGGGCTTAGACTGATTTCAAGACAGACAGACCATAGTAGCCATGTTTGCTCAGCCATGTCAAATACGTCGCCTTTTCTTTTTAGGGCTTTCAGCACAAAATTGCACAAATTGCCAAGGCAGCGTGTTTCACTCTAGTGAGCTTCATATTCCCCTTATACTCATTTGGCTTCAGGATAGATTAGTCAGAATAGCGCCTTCTCTCTCCGGAGCCGAGTCCGATGTGGCTTTTAGAGTTTAGATCGCATCATAGTGTTGAGCCCCACAGACATCGTGAGCTGTGAACTCACACTGTACAACGAACCCAGCGGTTTCATTATACAGTGTGAGCTGTAGCTGCGTGCTACGATTGAAAAAATCGTAGTACTAAAGTTAGTTGAAAACCATGGCGCTTGTGATTTGGGCTGAGAGAGCAGCATGCATGCGTTCAGGTTGAGGAGTGTGGTCTGATAGACTGCAGCCTTCTGGCTCAGAAAGCTGCTCAAAGACGGGTCATAAAACTCCACAAATGATGCAGAGGAGACAGCATCAGCAAGCTTTAGTAACGCCGCCATTTGATCCCAGACATCAGTTTTATTGACACCTACTGACCAACACTAGCCCCTGGAGTTTAGAATAAACAACTATCTCTGATTTAACCACAGTATCTTTATCTCTTTAACATCAGGAGGCTGATGATGAAAAAGGATGCACCAATTTTTTGGAAAGATATTAGAATGGATTATTTAATTTCCTTGATTAGCTGATCCTTGATCGTAAACGTATCTTGTTTGATGGATCAAAATGAAGAACTGTCACCTTTTGAGTCTAGAAATCTTCTTCAGGCCAGCTGAAGAAGATCAGATAAAGATTTTATGTGTTGGAATGGTTTGGAATCAGCAAGATAGACCTCAGATAAAACTGTAGATCTGGACCAGAAGAAGTCTCATCTTTGGATCTATACTAGATCTATACTCCTTTCTAGATCTCACCTCCGCTGGTTCATCTCTGATTCTCCTCCGTTGTTCTTTCCTGGACCCCAGCTGTGGCGGCGAAGGGGCGACAGAGAGCGTTTGCTGTTCCAGGAACGCCGCGGTACCTCGCTCACTCTGTCTTTTGCTTCCTCTTCAGCGTCCACCCCTCCTCCTCCTCCTCCTCCTCCAGAGGTATCCTGCCCTTCAGTGGTAGTAGCTTCAGGCTGGACGCCCTCCTCTGGGCTCCAGCTGCCGCCTAAGCCCTGGCTGCCTTCAGGACTGGAACTGGACGGGCCGATGCTCGCCGTGTCGTCTGTAGAGGAGCAGGAGACGGAGACCTCGCTGGTGCTGTCTCCTCCGGTCACCCGTTCATCGCCCTGCAGACATCCAAGGCAGGTTAGCTGTTATTTTTACATGGAAACATCCCTGCTTCTCTTTCTGGAAAAGCTGGGGGCGGGAGATAACAGCAGCTAGGTTAATATTGCGATCCAAGACATCTTTTATTGCAGACCGGGCGCCTCCAGGTGCATCCCTGGCCCCCTCAGGTGCATCGCTGCTCCTGAGGGGAGCAGCTTTAACTGATGCTTCCTAACGCCCATGAAATGATTTCATGTGCGTTACGCTGCTGTGCTTTAGGCTGTCGTTGGACATAAGTTCTGGACTCGTTATGAATACTTTATGCATATGCTGAAAATTGGAAAAAAAATACATAGAAAGTTCAGTGGGACATCAGACATAGGCTGGATAAATCGGCAAGGTGTGACGAGGTTCTAAAGGACTTTGAGAACTTGGTTTTACAAAAGTTAACCGACATTTTGTTCACTTTTAATTTTAAATCAGTGACATTGTTTGCAAATCACTATTGTGGGTGTTTTATATTCATTTCCTATCCGCCTCATGCAAACATCCATCCTACCCTCTATCACGGCAGTTGACCTTTTCCCCTTTAATTGAAGGCAGACTGCTCAGTTTTTCTAATTCTGGATTTGAAAAGCCTGATGTCAGCTTTTTACCACGCAAACGAGATTCAAACATGATCCATCTGACAGGAGCTGTGGTAAAGCTGGCCTCTAGTTAACCTGTTGTCAGCTGCCTATAGACTTCTTGTTTGTTTTTACTTTATGGATCATTGCCATCTTTGTTGTGTAACATCAGAACACTGTTTTTGTTTTTCAGGTCATCTACCTTTAGATAAAAAGACTGGAGAAAACAAGAATTATCTTTTATCTTTATCCATGGCCTTGTGTCTAAATTGTAAAATTATAATTTTCAATTTAAATAAAACCTGCAGAAACCAAATCAGCCAGCTGGTCAGCAGTGGGCAGCGATATATGGGTTAAGCACTTCCATGCTCAGTAGAGCTGGAGAAAAGATTAATTAGAACATTTTATCTGGCATCTCATTAAAAGCACCTTAAACTATTTCCAGGTTCTAAGTTCAGATATTTTTTTAGTCATTGTTTTTTAGAACTTTGATAAACTCTGATAATTAAGATAGTAGGGCTGCAATCCAAACCAAATCAAAAAATGAAATCAAATTTCAAAACTGTTTTCAGGATTTAGAAACTTAAATTGGATCGCTATTGAAATGTACTTTTAGCTGTTAACTGAATTAAATGAGTGTCTAGCCATGCATATATTCAAATTAATTAATTAAATTGTTGTTAATTACAGCTGGAAGGAGAATAGTATACGCTTTTTTAAAACATAGTTTTGGTTTTATATATATATATGTATATATATACGGTTGCATTTCCGAATTCTCCCGAGTGGTGCCCAACTTTACATGAGTAAATAAAGTGAATGTGATTAGTTGTTTATCAACCAATCACACAACACATGTTGTGGCGGAAGGTTTGCAAGCTTTTTGATTGTGGCCGGTTTGTCGGAAGCATCTTGCTAACCAGTTAGCAACTTAGTGCTAGTAGGTTTCCAATGGGAAATTCCATTGGGACCAAGTAGCACTAAATTGGTGACTTAGAAACGACGCTGTCAAGGAACGCTATGGACAGCGGAAACATGTAAGAGGAGGAGAGTTTAGTGTTGGAGGTCATAATGAGTCTCCTCCATCATACATTTTTTATTTAAAGGAGGAAAGCGGGGACGAAGATGTTGTGGAAGAGGACGCCAGGGCGGCAGAAGCTTGATTTGGTGTAGAAGGCTTACAGCCGTACATGTTAGAGCCCTTGCCTCGCAACGCTGCCAGTTCTGTTAGCTCTACGCCTGCTGAAGACACTGACGTCCATCCCCGTGAACACTGGGACAGTTCTCAACCTATTAGCTGCGACATATGAATCAAGATGCTATGACCGAAAAAATTTGATTGACAGACGATCATTGTTATATGATTGGCCGAATTTAGGTGTTCAGGCTGACGTATAACTAACTGGTCTGCATAAAATAACGGGGAAAAAACATATTTTAAGGCAGGATTTTTTATTTTTTTAAAGATGTTCTAAATTTTGGGACAATATAGTCTGATAAAGAGTACATTAATTTACATGTTTAACCCCGAATTATTTGACATTCAAATATAACTTCCCTACGACTTTAATATAAGAATCGAGTCTGAATTGAAAAATCTTTGTAGCAGAGCCTTACTTACAAAGGGAGCTCACACACGCTAGGTTGTTTATGTGTGATCACTTTATTTCACGGTGACACCTTATCCTGAAAGCTAAGAATGTGTTGATTGTAGAAAGTTCAAGAAGGATGTCTATTTTTCACACAATACTTTCATTTAGAGCTCTACTACGCTTATTAAATTATTTTTCTGTTTGGAAACCAACCCATTAATGAAGGAATATTCAAAATCATATTTCATATAAAAAAAACATAAACAACACTAATTATGATGCAGAAAACTATGAAATGCACTGAAAGGGAAGAATAGAGCAGATGTGCATCAAATGGCTGTTAATCACCTGGGCTATCACATTATATGTACATCAGCATTTCAGTGCTGAAGCATGTTCCGGATTGAGAGAAGCCTGGAAGAGCTATTTAACCCACAGGAATGGAGCATAATGAGGACCAAATGGCAAGGCTTAAGCATAACGAGCAGCAGCCACTTTATAGCAACACTGACATTATAACAAACAGCATTAGATGATGGGGGGGAAACAAAAGCTTTCACAGATGTTGCTAAGACGCACACGCTTTTCAAACACTGTCAAAGTCACAAGACTGCACAGCCAGGAAAAAAACTGTGTGCAGTTGAGTTTTCATATTTCTCAGTGAAAACAAGCCTCTCTGCATAAAACCCCTTAACTGAGATGGGTGGGAACATGTTCCTGAGCCGACACTCAGGTTTAAGGGAGGTTCTTTGGGAGCTAATTTGTAGGTGTGAGCGTTGAACTGGGTCTATTGTGCTGCGGGCTGCAGTGTTAACGCCAACATAGAGCTGCTTCTGTTGGAGGAGCTGGGAAAGAAAGATCTGCTTTATGCTGCAAAAACAACTTCCTCTGGGAGTGAGGGAACTTGTGAGCACGTGACTGCAGCCGACGCTGGCTTTGGAGTCAGGAGGAGGATTCAGATAGGATTAAACATTTTACATTTCAGGCTTTTTAATTCTTTTCCTGCCCTTCTACACAACAATTAATGATTCGCTCTCTTTCCACAAGGGCACATGATGCATGCTGAGCTGATGCGTTAATGAGATCCATGCCACGGCCTTTTACAGTTATAAAAAACTGTCTTTTTTTACATTTATAGAACTGTAACTTGCTAAAGAAAAGATGCATTCTCCTTGGAGAGAAGCAAATGTGTTAATCCCCTCTTTCAGAATTTAGCTTCTTTGGCCTTTTGTTTGAAATCAAAGCCTGCAGAGCCTCAAACCCCATTTCATCCATCACTCACTGTCGGCTGTGTCCTAACCCTCAGCATCCCGGCGAACACTGGCAGGCAGCTGATAAACACTGCCAACACTTCGTTGTTCACTGCTGTTAACAAAGGGGGATGTAGATCCAAATACGGTGAGGACGTTTGGAGTGCTCAACGCTGCAGAAAGATGCAACGCCGAGAGATACATGCATCTCAACAACAACCAAAGGCTTCACACCGACGTTCAGCAGCAGCAGCCGCGTGACAGCGGGAACCGCCGCTTGCTCTTTCCCCAGCAGCGGAGCAGAGTTGCTGGCGTCAAAAAAAAAAGATGCTTGGTTGATGTCTGGGGCCCTCAGCCTCAGGGTGCTGGTAAATAAAGCTGAGCTCTGACTGAGGGAGAAACAGCCCCCGTTATACATAGGAAATATTCCCTATAGGCGACGCTGCAGAGGCAAACAGAAATACATTCCTGCTGTTCGACATGAGTGAACCTGGTGTTTGGAGCGCAGCCAGCAGAGCATACAGACGCTGCTGCCAAATCAAACTGGATTTTCGCTTATTTGAAAGTGTACAGCGCTTTGCAGAGGTTTTCATTATTTCACATCTTGTCACAACAACTCACTTGATGTATACAATACTTCAGCATAAAGCTGTTCATAACTGAAGTGGAAGGAATACGAAAGGGTTTTTATTTTTGCAAAATGAGTTTTTAGAAGTGTGCAATATTGAGCCAATTTTAAGCAATATAAAAAACCATCCATTCTCTGGCCTCAGGAATCATGTAATTAGTTAATACGGTGAAAAAAAGTCTGAATTAGTATAATTTTTTTTTTATTTTTTAATGGTGGCCTCACAGGTTTTTTTAAAGACCATGAGTGCAGACAGGATGTTTGGTCAGCAGACGTGGGGAAAAAGGAGCTCTGGTTAAATAAAAAGAAAATCAGGACCTTATTTCTCTACATACTAAAAACTATGAAAAACGAGTATAAAGCATCACCCTTAACCACCTCATCAACATGGTGGTGGCAGCATTATGATATGGGGATGTTTTATGTCAAATCTCATTGTCCTTTCTGTACATGGTTATATTCTAGAGAAGAAGTTCCTAAACATTTTTACCCCTGACCCCAAATTAAAAATGCAGTAGATTGGTGACGCCCTAAAAATAAATTTTTATGACTTCATGATTTATTTTTTTTATACAAATAAAAGATATTATCTATATTTTTAAATACAACTAATTTATGAATGATATTTAATTATTTTTTTCAATTAAGTTCATTTAAATAGTGCAAATTCACAACACTCATCATCTTAAGGCACTTTACAGTTTACCAGATCATCCAGTCAGATTAATTCAAAGTTTTCTATCTAAGGAAAACCAGTCAGAATTAAAACATATATTTAAAATTTATTTAAATGGTGCATCTATTGATCTATTGATATTTTGGCCTCGGGGATCAGAATCAATGTGAAAACCACATCACAACAAAGTCTGTCATTTAAAATCCTACTAAAAACTGCAGTTTGTGTTAAGATATTGGAAGAAAAAAATGACAAAAAATTTAAATAATATCAAACCTTATGGAAGATTTTTTAACAGTCTGGTTAAAGTAATAAGGCAGCTTAATAAAGCAGTATTTGTCTCATATGTGGACCTGCTGAATAGAAATGTCCTGCAGGCTATAATCCATGTTACAGACCTTTCTAAAGATGGTGTCATACTCTGGCTCTGCACTCAGGAGGCTTTCAATGTCACTGCCAGAATCTCTGTGAGTGGACGACGGGCAGCTGGTGGAACTGCTGGTTCTGCTGGGCAAACTGGGAAAGGCTGGAGATGTTGAGGATTCTGAAACACACAAGGACAAAGGATCAACATTTTTTGGTCAGTTGAGAAGAAAATGTTGGAACTAAGTCAGGGAATCAACCATCAGCAGTCAGACATTCAGTTCTGTAAATGTCAAAAACTTGAGGCAAAACTGAAGTCAGAGAGAAAAAAATAAAATAAACTAAAATGCTCAGAGCAACAGAACATCCAAACAGTTTTTAAACTACCAGTCTAGTTTTCATGAACCTTTTAGGTCAGAGACCATTTTAGTTCATAAAAAAGTCACAATGTAGAAACAGTCATGCTTACAGTCGCTACCCGCTCTCACACTTCTACATTTAGATAAACTCATCACTTTAAATAGCTTAAACTCAATGGTAAAGTAAATTATTTTAATTTGAACCATTGCATATATTAGCTGCGACATATGAATCAAGATGCTATGACTGAAAAAATTTGATTGACAGGTGACCATTGATATATGATTGGACGAATTTAGGTGTTAAAGGTGATGTATAACTAACTGGCCTGCATAGGATAAAGGGGGGGGGTAACGCAAATTTTAAAGGTACACTATGCAACCGGTGTTGATTTTCCAGCGAGGCTCCACCCAGAGGGCGAAAGTAAAAGTGCACTGTCGTAAATATGCTCAGCTGTTCTTCTGGTTTCTCCGTCAAGCCAGGCGCGGTTGTTTTGAGCTTAGCAGACAGGCGAAGGCAACGAATCACCATGTCTACTGCGGTAGAGAGCCCTTTTCCTCTTTCTTGCCTCCTCCAACATGGGCTTTCGCTGTTTTCGCACCACTGCGCTAACAACGAGCATGCCTTTCACTGGGGCGTGTAGCAGTTCTCGCCGTAAAGCAAGACCGACTCTCGCGATGAACAAGACTTCTGAGCCTGTTGTTGCGGGCCGAGGGCTCCTGCAATTGCAAGTACGGTATTTCCCCTACAGACCACCAGGGCGGCCGAGAAAACCTTTGTTCGACCTGAAAGGACTGATTAAATCATCCAAAACGTTATGGAACACATTAACTGAAAAATGTTGCATAGTATGCCTTTAAGAAAGGATTATTTTATTTTTTTTTATAGAAACTTTCTTACTTTTGGGACTATATTATCTGATAAAGAGTACATTTATATACATGTTTTATGCCAGAATGATTTGACATTTAAATATGACTTCCCTATGACTTTAAAAGATGCACATTTAAAACCATTCCTCCCACTTAAAACGCTGTGCTTAACATTTACACTCAGTTCCTCTCATTAGGCCACAGTGGCCCTAAACCAACATGGCGTTTAAACAAGTTTACACCCATCGTTCCCTCCTAACCCTCTGCTGTACCACAAATAAGCATCTTTAAAGTCAGCACAAAATTCACAGCTCCAGGAGGTAACGAGGTCCTGGATGCAAGGGCGGGTTTCCAGGGTCGCTGTGCTTGTAGGGACATGTACTGATAATATTCCAGAATAGAAGAGGAAGCTTGATATACCAGCGGGCTTTCTTTAGCCAGCTGCCAGGAACAACTGGATGAGATCATCCACCCAGTTTGGAGTTTTGCGTTATTCCAGATGTCTGTTTGGACCCCGAGTTGTAGAAGTTATTCTTGTCCCTCAGGAACATATTACATTCACTGCACTCATAAGAGCAAGAGGAAATGGCTGAAAATGACATGTCTGTGTGTGAATCCTTTGACATAACTGAATCTGTTTATTCTCAATGGATAACTAAAACAAGCAGCCAGGTTTTTTTGTAGTTCAGTCAAACTCATTTTAGGTCCAGTGAGACAACTTCTTCTTCTACTACTTATATTAATCAAGCTTAACAAAAACTAACATCCACATGAACATCATTGTGGTAAGGATAAAAAAAAAAAAAAGTGAAAATCAACTAAACAGGAGCAGCTTGTAAGGAATTAGACCAAGAATGGAAGTCGAAGTTTCAAGAATCTACAAAAAAGTTGATTTTCGTTCATAGTGTTTAAAACAATCTAGTGCCTCTTGTGATGTCATCAACCCAATAAAATACCCAAAAATACACTCAAAGAATACCATACTGCAGCTTCAGGGAACCGCCATTATTACAATCAATACCTGAAGTAGCTAAAGTCAATGGAAAAAGCCAGAAATCTGCTCTGAAATCACTGAAAGTCGGTCCTGATCTCCGGAGGCGGGTCAAAACGGAAGGTAATGAGATTATAAGTCTTCTAACCTCAGAATTATGTCTCCTTTATTTTAATCTCTACATATTGTATAAAAGAATAGAAATGTCCCAAACTGTTGAATGTGGAATTTTTTGTATAGGCAAAAATAAAGACGTTCAAGTAAACAAAGAACTTATAGGGAGCCTTTTGGCAAATTTTTTTTATTTCATGTAATTTTTTATTGTTTTTTTTTTAGGTTTTTAAGGCACCAGTGGAAAGGGGTAGGATAGAGGGGAAGAGACGGGTGGCAAAGGACCACAGGTCGGATTCTAACCCGGGTCGGCCGCATTGAGAACTAAGGCCTACATAGGTGGGTGCAACCGAAGCGCGCTTATTTAGAGACATTCTTAAATGATCTTCTTGAGTCAATGTGTGCAAATGCAAGGTTCAGAGCTGATAAAACAGCCAGTTGTTCTGCTTTCTTTTATAGGAAGCTAGATAAAAGAAAACAAAAACTTCCTGCATTAAGAAGGCGTTCTATATTCCTGAGGAACGCCTAATTTGACAGACTGAATGATGGACATGTAGCGCCTCCACACACTGAAACATGCAGGCCTGACCAGAGGAAGGTAAAGTTAAGAGAAAAGAACAACATCAACCTACAGAATATAATAAAGCTACTCAAACATTTATCAAACACATTTCTATTTTACCATTATGACGTTGATAAAATCCTTTAAAGTGAAATATTAAAAGAAGTATTGCCTGATAAATAAAGAATGCTGTCTAAAACACAGATTAAATCCTGAGCAGTTAAGCTTACAGCCAGACCGGCAACCAGGTTTATTCAGCTTACAGAATTCTTTAAAAAGTGAGAAACCAACTCTGACCTCTGAGTCCACATTCAGAAAGACATCTCAACCAAGCTGCTGTTTTAAAAACCTTTTTTGGCCTTTTACCCGATAAAAGCTGGTGGGGAGGCAGGAGGATGCGGCGTGTTTGTTGCAGACTCCACCCCCTCACACCTGTTCACCAAAACTAGCAGAGGACTGTGAGCCCTGACAGCCGTCTTCCTCCCGCAGTTATAAACAGAGACCGCCACAACATACCAACACACACACGTATATACACAACCAGAAGGACACAGAACAGGTGGAGCACGCTTAGATGAGTCTGTGGGTGGTTGAGGTTGCTGCTGAATGTGAAGCTGCTCATAGACCTGCATTGAATCAACCTTATGCACAAAGTACCAATAAATAGGCACTGAATCCATTTTGAGAGTCAAAAGTTTATTCAACTATTGTCACCCAATTCAGGTAGGTAATAAAAAGTTCTACTGGATTCACTTTGTATGAGTCTTTTTCCTGCTTCACAAAGGTAGGCAGCAGCTTGACAAAGCCATGATGGCAATTATTTTACATCCAAGTAGTTTGCAGTTCTTCGTATATACACACACCAATTTCAAACGGATGGTATTGATATCGGCCAATACTGCACATCCAGGTATCGGGGCCAAAAAATGGCATCGGCGCAACACTAATTAGAAATATAATGATAAATATTTCAACAATAAAGGTATTACTAATACCAATAAGAATACTTTTAGGCATTAGAGGTTCCTGATTAAAGCAAATGGATGGTGTTGTCCAATCTTTGTGTAAATACTGTTAAAATGTTGATTCTCATCAAGTTTTTCATTTTGTGAGAATTTAATACCAGTTTATGCAAATCTTTATCCGATCAGATATCAAATATCTTTCTTTTACTTTAAGAACTATAGACTGCCAGACCAACAAGGTAAAACTGTAATAAATTTGATTTAATTAAACGGTCTAATCAGCTCTTAAAGATACCAGCAAATGTGAGTGGACTGTATTTTTAAAACAGGAGGACTCCAAAGAGCTTCAAACTACCTTTAGTTCATGCACACACTGATGGTGGGAAGCTACACTGGGGCAGAATGACAGAAGCGAGGCCGCTGGGCGCTCTGACCCAGCTGCATTGTGGGTGGAGTGTATCGTCCATGGACGTCACCACTGAGACATTGTAAGCGGTGCCACATTTCTATGATGAAACCCTGCGTCCTCACCACTGTCACCCTTTATAGAACATTTAGTGAAATACTCTGAAAATCAAACTTTCAAGCCAATAGTGTTATCGGAATCCAGGACAAGATGTTATTACCTTTGCAACATTCATAAAATATGGATATTTTGACGGCAAAAATTAATGCCGCTGTGAAAATGTAATAAGAAACGCCAAATTTCCTGAATATGTTAAGAAAAATAACAAGAGTGCTTTTATAAGAAATTTATGAAAAACACTCAGAGTGAAATAAATTTTTTTTGTCTGTCCAACATAACCTTAGGGGCATTAATGCTGATACTGGCACTTACATTTTTAGCATATAAACCTACATATAATTGTTAGCAAGGCTTATATATTTTTTATTATACTTTTTCACTTTTGTAAGGGGTATGCAAGGGATCAAAACCGGTAACTTGCTCAATAAAGGGTTAAATGTTGTTTTGGGTCAGAAAACAACTACAGTGCATTTAACTGTCTTAAAAAAACACCCTAAATAAAATCCCACTTTGCAGATTTCCTCTTACAGCCCTATTTTATTTTTATTTTTTTCCTTTTTGTATTAATGTTTTTAGTTCCATCCTGCTGAATGAGTATGCTGTATGAGGCAGCTGTGTGGGCTTTAATCAGTCAGATTATTTGAATAGATGAAGGTGAGAATCCATTGGATGTTTCTGGAGGAGACTTTGAACAGAATCAGATCCTAATCAGCCCACAGTGTCCCTGCTGCTGCAGAAACTGCTCTATTTTACACACATTCAGGCAGCTGCTGTGAGCCATACAGAGCAACAGT